ATATAATAAACAAACAAACAAACAAATAAATTGCATATGCTTAGGTATATATGTACATATATATATGTACTTTTATGTACATATATTCTTATGTATAGGCTATAGGGCTGCCTTCCCCAAGCGATTGTCCTTGAGTTGTGGTTGGGGCTGAAATATTCAGAGCTCCTGAATTAATCAGTTGCTATAGAGTAGCGTCTGGGAAGCAGTTCCACATTTTGGGGTATTTCTGTACCAGAGGCCTGGCTGGGTTATTCCCTCTTTCCAAAGAAAGCTGAGAAATGTAATTTCTGAGTTGGATGGCATATGTGAATGTTTTGTAAATATGGATCCTCTGTTTGGGGACATGTTTTCTCTTTTTTGGAAATGGCTAAGCGGCCCTTATTATGGTGAGCAGGGTAAGGATTGCTACCAACAGGGCTGGCATATGTGGATGGCAACTATCTGCTCAGTCACTAGATGGCAGCAAAAAGGTACAGAAAAAGCTAATGCCTTTGGTGCCATCTAGTGGTCATGCAGATGTTTCAGATATGCAAGCCCTACCAACAGAATCCTTAGCATCCACCGCAAATCACAAACACTAAGAATCTTTGGGGACAAACTATGATGCGTGCATGCAACCCCATTTTAATTGGCTAGGGCAAGTTGAAGGATATAAACAAGCCATAGTTATACTGCATAAGCTATGGTTTAACACAATGTTTGAATATGGTCACTGACTTCAGAAGGACGCACTCATGCGTAACAGAATTGCCATCTTAAGTAAACGTAAAAGGGATGCATTTCCTTACGTAGGAGCTCATAAAACATGTGCTCAGAAAATGCAAAATTCTCACACCAGGAATACAACTTGAGGGAAAATATGTGAACTATGGACAAACATGCATTTATAAGTTTAAACAAAACTGAACTGACACAAAGGCTTCCCCATTCTTAATTAATGTACAAGATCTGGTAATAGTCTTTTTTTTCTAACCTGCATCTTGTAAAACAAATATTGTGCTACGTACCATTTAATTTGAGTTCCGTTTTATTAAAAGCACAATCTGGGGTATATCTGCTAAGAAGTAAATCCCATCGAGTCCCATGATGCTTACTCCTAGGTAAGTTAGCATAGTCTTTCAGCTTAACTAGTAAACTCTTCTGAGCAGTTAGTGTTAATAATTATACCTACATCTGTCATTGATTGTCATAAAGGATTTGATTTGATTTCATAATAATAACCTCAGTGCCCCTAATCCATGAGATAACTTCTCGTTTTCTCTCTTTGTATGTCACTTTGGTGATCCCGACATAAAGCTGCAATATTGGGAGCCCCTCAGAATATTACAATTCTGTCCACCAATATGAAGCACTTTCTGATCTGGAGCCCAGTTGCAGAGATTGTACCTGGCAAGGTCATAAAATATTCGGTCGAGTTTCAAGGGTAAGTTCTTTCATCTTGAATACTGGTTGCCTACAGACGAACCAGCATAACTGATTCTAAATACGTGCTCCTACACTTCTTCACCTTATACCAACCAAATATGTTGGACTAAGGTACTACTAATTATACCAGCTGGAAGTATTAGAAATTACAGTCCAACAAATCTGGATTACTAGATCAGGGACAGCTCTAACTTTTGCTATACTCAGTAGTTAATAGGAGACACCACAGAGGTTTATGGAACTATGTATGCTGTGAAGAACCTGAATAGGGCGAATTGTTCTGTTTCTTCTTGTACTCATACTAGATGGTTGTCTAGCAGGACATTCAAGAGA